CACACACACACACACACGTTTATCATGTGCTGCTTAAATTTCTCACCTGGGGGAAGAAAGAAAACAAAAATTTGTCACCTGGGTTTTGACTACTTTACCGCCCACACAGCTATGTTGAATGCTTAACTGCATCTTGCTTGTCCCACCCTAAGTGTGGTCCCCTTGGGTTTCAGTCCTCTGTCTGGCTTATTTCTCTCACTATAGTTACTTTCTCAAGGATGTCACCTACTCACTCACCTGTCATGTCTAAATAGGTAATGTTCAAGTCAAATAGGTAATGTTCAAGTTTTGGGAGTTGTACTTCACTTCTTTAGCTGCTTACCAAATGTGTATTCTTAGGTGTGCCTTTATCATCCTAACTTTGCCATCATTTTTCTTGGCATCCTCTGTTTCTGTGACTGATCTCACTGTATTTTCAGGTTTCTAGATTGAAACCTTGAAGTTTGGGTTGACTTTCCCCATGCTTTACTCTTCCATGTGATCTCAGTCACTAAATTCTGTCTATTTTATAGTATATTGTCTTTTTCATTTGTTCCTTTTTTTCTCATTACCTTTCAGGGCCACGCCTTTAAATAGTTCATTGAACTCCACCTGTAACTAGTCACATAACTTGTCCCTTTGCCTAGTCTTGCTTTCCTCTGGTTCGTCCTGCACCCTGCTGCTACTTTCATAATATCAATCCCTGTTGATCTCGTACTAGATTTATTTTCTTATGCCCCCTATATAAAAACTCATTGATCTGGTCAAGCCAGATCTATTTTCTCAGCATGTACTGTATTTATCCTGCTATGGGCCTTTGATGATGCCATTCTTTTTCTCTAGAATACTACCCTCTCCCTCATCCATTATAATCTGACTGATATTTCATGATTTAGATCAAATCACTCTTCCTTCTGTAAAGTCATTCCTAATTACTCTAGTGTCTTCTCACTTCTCTGACAACAGGCTGCCTAATGTGAGCAATAGTGTCATGTATTCCTACACAGATGTTTATGTTTTGTTATCTTCTGTTGTCAATCTGGTTATCTAATATTCTTGTACTCATAACTTATCTCTACTACTTCATTATATGCTTCTTAAGATGTGTGAGCAAGCCTTGTATCTGTTTTGGATCTCAGTACATTGCTTTGCACAGTGCATTTATAAGCAGTTAAAGTTAATGAAAAACTAGTTTTTTTGGTAAAAGCTATTTTAGAGACAGAACAGAAGGTCTCAATCTACTTTACCTGTGATTTAGTAAAAAACTTTGTTTACGTATATAAATCTTGCATGGTTCATTGTGTGCTGCTTAAATTTCTCACCTTGGTTTTGCCTACTTCACTGCCCAGCCCAGTATGTTGAATGCATAACTGCATCCTGCTTGTCCCACCCTAAATGTGGTCCCCTTGGGTTTCAGTCCTCAGTCTGGTTTATTTCTCTCACTA